ATACAAATATCCTTTGACCTTCGCTGATCGCAGTAGCATTTTTTTTTGCTATGATATGTAACTTAAACCTCACTCTTGTGTTGCTGACATTAGGAAATGACACCATGCTTCCTGCCGGTCTGTATGAAGGCATCTACGGAACGATCAATGTCCTCGTCAGTGTGAGCTGCAGAGATCTGGACTCGAATGCGGGCTTTTCCTTTGGGAACGACTGGGTAGGAGAAACCGATCACATACACTCCTGATGACAAAGTGAGAAAGCCATTGTTTTTAAACAGGCTGCCGGGCTTGCATAATTTGTTTTGTAGAAAAAAAATTAGATGGACTATATATATCTGAATTCTTACCTAGTTTTAGCATGTCGTCAGCCATAAGTGAAGCCAGACGAGCGTCTCCCAGCATCACAGGACAGATAGGATGAGCTGTGCCAGAAATGGTGAACCCTGCCTGGGTCATGTTGTTTCTGAACCTTTTGGAAAGAAGAAAAGGCGCACAATAGACCATTGTTATCATTAGCTCAATGAACTCCAAAAATCCTTTATTCTTAAAAGCATTCATACTTTCATACTGAACCAGCAAAAGTCTGCTCTTTTTGTTTTGACTGCAATGTCATCCCAGACAGACTGTTACTTTGAACAGTTTGTTTTAACTCTGCTGCTTATCTACTTCCCACAAAAAGAGAGCAGTAACGCAAGCTAAAGGGTATAACCCAATCTACAAATATCACAGAGCGCCCACTCCAGTCCAACCTCATGGTTTTAGCTGCCATGGACTGAGCGATTTCATTGGACGCCAGCAGCAGTTCCACAGCATGGGTGGCACAGCCCACCACAGGAGGAGGGAGGGAGTTCGAGAAGAGGTACGGACGAGACCGCTGTCTCAGAAGCTCAATCAAAGCCTTGGGTCCGACAGTGTAACCACCTGACAGAGAGTTAGAAATATACATGTTTGAAAGGACTGAAATTGCTTCAGCCTTCTTAGCAAAGAAACGATTGAATGTGTTATTTTGCCTGACATAGTAGCTTGACTATGTAAAGATGATGTTTGATAATTATACGCACCAGCAGCTCCTCCTAGTGCTTTTCCCAGAGTGGAATTCACAATGTGAACCCTGTCCATCACTCCCAGCAACTCATCTGTTCCTCTGTGGGAAATAAATGCATGAACATCCACTCATAATATAATATAATATGATAT